AAAAATTAAAAATTTGTTTCAAACAAATTTTAACACTGTCAACTAAAAATATTCACTTGTTCTTATTTCTCTAATAATCATAATAATAGGTTGCAAAAACAAGGGATAGTTAAGAAGTTTCTTACTTAGAATTGCAAAATTAATAAAAACCAAAACCAAAAACTTAAACCCACAACCAAACTAAACAGAACCAGAGTAACTATGAGAGCAAAACCTAATGCATGTAAACAGAATGCTGATTGGCATATCGAAGATTTCCAAATTAACAAAACATATAGACCTCAGTGAATTACCTGCTCAATTCGACCCAAAACCTCTTCTCTCTTGGCAGCTTCCTCTTTGCTCTCATAAAGCTCCGCTTGAACCAAAAACTGGACCAAAATTTCACAAAATAATAAAAATCTAGAAAAACAGCAGGCAGGCAGACGCAAATAAAATGCGTAAACCAAATACATCCACAGCAACACATAAACTAATATACCTTCTCTAATTCCCGAGTTCTCTGCAAATCAACCTCCGTCGGCCCCGCCATCGACAACGGCTTAGTCACACCATACAGCTTCGTCGGCGCCTCCGAAGTCACCATCTCGCAAAATTTCCCCGAAACAAAGAAATCCTAATCTTCTAGAACAAACAACACAAAATCGAAAACCGCGAACTGATGCAAAAATTAGAAAAACCTGAAACCCTAAGAGAGTAGATCGGAAAACCGGAAACCCTAAGAGAGATACTACGGGGGGAAGGGGGGGCGGCGGGTTGAGTGAGTGGAGGATTTATGGAAGGAGAAAATTCCTAATCCAAGAGGAAGATGGAGAGCGTAGGTAGGCTTCTCCGGGGTGATCTTTTTGGGATAGTTTTTTTCTACAGGCGATGACTCAATGGATCTGATTTATATTAAAAAAAAGAAAAGGGGAAAAAAGGAGTGTAACGTTCCGCGTAAGGAAGCTTTTCCTTGGATCTTCCGGGGTTTTTTTATCATATTAGGTGGGCGTCCACCAATTGGCATAAGGTTGACGCGTCGCGAAGTCAAGTTTCGGTTAGGGACTGTTTGGTAGGTTCCTATGATTATACTTTAATTGTTGCAAATCAAATTATGTTGCATATTTCCACCAAAAAAAAATTTATGTTGCATATGTATATATATATATAATCAACCTTAATAGTATCAGAATCATTTATCATGTGATTTTCATATAAATTTCAACATAAGAGTCCAGTGATAAATAACCCTGACTCAAAAACACTCAAATTTAAATTTAATAAAAAACATTATGTAAGAAGTAACTAGTTGCTCTTCTTTAAACTTTTCAATTAAGTTACTTATATTTGGGATTCAAATAGCTTTGGATTTTTCTTCGTGCTTCGTCTAGAAGCACGTTCTAGAAAGAAAAACTTTTTGAGTAAGTCGTTGGATGGAGGACAATAAAATATTAAAATTGTCTCTTAAATTCTTTGTGTGAAGCACATGAAATGACTAAAATAGTGTTACAATAATTTGGAGAAAGTTTGATAATTGATTAATTTTTTATTGTAATAGATTTTTTTGTTATTGGTACTCAATTATTCCATATTTATAATTAACTACAATAACTCATTACAGAAAAAAAAAAAACTTAAAACTTACTTTATAATCGATTATAATTGGAAAAAAGCCAAATACCCGCTAGATTTATAAAATGAATATTTTAAGCAATTATAATAATTCATAATTACTTAATAATTAGTTATAGAAGATTATAACTAACTATATCATTTTTATTATAAATTGTGAGAAGTATTAATTATTTATATGAAATATAATGGATTAATCGGATATAATCGATTATTGTATTCTAAGGCATCACAATTTTTACTTTAAATTTTCCAATTGTCTTTTTTAAGTAAACCAACTACAGAATTTTGAAAATACTGAATGCAACTTATAAGCAATCAAACATCAAGGGCATGTTTGGTTGGCCACTTTCCCAGAAAAAGATTTTGAGGAAGCCAACCAAAAATTTAGTTGACTTGACTTAGGATTTTAACTTTTTTGACATGTAAATTGAGGTACAATATGATTGGTTATGAAAGAAAATATAATGCATTATAATCACACTTTCTTTGGAAAGTTTTTTTTTTTTTTTTGGGGACTTTTTTAGGAAAGTGGATGTAACTAATTATAAAGATAAATAATCAATTACTTTAATATAATTACTTAATTTTCAAAATAATCAATTATATTGTAAATATAATCTATTACTTTCCCTTTATAATCGATTATATTGTATCTTGATTACATGTCAGCAAAATTAATATCCTATTTTTGTTATGAAAAGACTCTCTTTGGGCCTCATACTAGGACAGCAAAAGTGTAAAATAAGTTGAAATCAAATAAATTTTATTGTCCAAACTATAAAGTTTGAACTATTAAATAAGAAAAACGCTAATTATAGAGAAATACCCCTTATTTAAAAGTCTAAAATTAATTATATGAGAAAATAAGACTATCATTTAGACTACAGAATTACAAACTCAATTGAGAGTTTGGGTTCAAGTTTACTTATGCTCAACCTTAATTGAATTTACAATTCACATCAAATTTAAACAAAACTCAAGCTTGTGGTAGGCTTGCTTTTATATCTAGGGCTGTTTTTATTTTTTTTTTTCTTATGTGTAAGAAACAAGTACTTCATTCCTAGTGAGGAATTATCATCAATAACCAGTATGGTTGAAGAAGGAAGACAACCAAATCAAACCCTTCACTCCTTGTAGTATAATACATTGCTGTCTTAGTTTGGGAGAAAAATTAGTCAAATACAAAACAAAAGTATACTCAAAATGCACTACAAAGCAATTGATATAGAAGTATGTATGGAAAAAAGTGCTGTATAATTTGACAATCTTAGATTCTTAATCATTAATAGAAAACTAGTATCTACTATTAACTCATTCTCCTGCCATTGAATGATAATTATTTTGAAATATATTGTTTTATAATTTAAAATAATCAAAATTATAAAATAAGTTTTCAATTATTTTAAATACAACGCAAACCGGACAATAAAACAAACTCAAATAAGTACTAGGGGTTGTTTGGTGGAGTTTTTTTTTGGAGCTTTTATTTTTTTAAGACTGTTTATGATATATAAGTTTAAATTTTTATTGAAAAAAATTAAAAGTTATATTTAGAAATAATAAAAAGTAAGTAAGAAATGAGTAAAAATTAAATTTATAAAAATTTAAATATAAAATTTTTTAAAATTTATTATTTAAGATTTTTTTAAGTTAAAAATATAAATTAAAAAAATTAAACTAATAAAATATAAATAGTCTCAAAAAACTAATACAATTATAAACTTCGCCTGCTCTAATGGCAATCCAATCACTCTACATAAGCATTTCCCTGTTATGGTTTATTGGTGGCCACTGTAACCTAACAGGACTGCCGATGAATTGCATCATTTACCAGTAATCAAACTTTACTACGAGCAAAGCACTAATTTAACTAACTTCTAACTTCTAACTATTGTTCTTAAAAAAAGAAAAATTCACTACATAAAAAGTGTAATGATTAAGTAAATAAATAAAGAAAACACAAGATTCACAACGGTAATGTACCACACA